TATATATATATATATATATATATATATATATATATATATATATATATATATATATATATATATATATATATATATATATATATATATATAACATGTTAAACGCGTCGTCTTGTGGAAAAAGTCTTGACTTTTATTTGAGGTGTTATCATCACACACACAGATGTGAAGTGAGTGAAATCCTCCAGCAGCAGGCAGCAGAGGGCCAGAAAACACTCTTGTATGTGTTTCAGCTTCCTGTTGTTCTGCTGAGAGCGTCTGTGGGCTAAAAATGGAAACTTTGCAGTCTAAAATTAGATGAGGGGACACAGGGGGGGGAAGCGTTTACAGGTATAATCAGACTGAAATAGACCCTGAAGCGTTGGTGTGATGCCCACACGAGCCACCGCAAATAAAAACACATCGACAGCTGTGGTCTGATATTACAATATGTGAACAAGCAACAAAAGCAGCTGATTTGCGAGCGCTTCTGTGGTTGAACGCTTTCCTGAAGGATCGATAGTGTGTCCTGTTTGTCCCTGCGTGTGTTTTAGTTCTGCTGGAGCTCAATATTTAACAGGAGTGAAGGCACTGACCCATATAGAGCCGTCTGATAAGAGTGGCATACATTAGACAACACTAAACACTGAGCTTACAACAGCACACACACACTCCAACCAACAGCATGCTCTTTTCAGCTTAAAACACAACACTTGATGCATCTCGACTGGTTATTTACATGACGACAGTTCCAGTGCACACGTGTAAAGCGCATATCTTTCTGTCTGTGTAAACAACTAGACACTTTCATTGAGGTCTGTATGAACAGAGATATACGGAACTGTGTACAGTATATGCAAAACTTTTCTAAAAGGCTAAACGTCTTTCTTTTTTTAGTATATAATTTTCATGTCAACAGACTAAAGGTTTTATTTGACAAAAAAATGGGCATTTCTGTGTGGAGTTTGCATGTTCTCCCCGTGTTGGTGTGGGTTTCCTCCGGGTCCTACGGTTTCTCCCACAGTCCAAACAAATGCGCTATAGGTGAATTAAATTAACTAAATTGGCCATAGTGTGTGGGTGTTTCCCAGTACTGGGTTGCACATACTGTAGAAGGGCATTCGCTGTGTAAAACATATGCTGGATAAGTTGGGGGTTCATTCCGCTGTGGCGACCCCTGATGAATAAAGGGACTAACCCAAAGGAAAATGAATGAATGAATATTACTCAGTTTTTGGCCTCAGGTTAGTTGACAAAAAAGTATTTCATTAATATTTTTATCATTTAAAATAATCTAATATTCACAGTATTTCCTATTTAATTTTTCTTCTGGAGAAAGTCTTATTTGATTAATATATAAATATAATAGGGCTGCATAATATTGGAAAAATCTGCAATATTTTATTTCTCTACGATAAATATTGCGACATGAATACAGTTTCACAAGATGGTTTGAGCTATTTGTCGAACAGTATTCGGGTACAGAAATTGAGTAATCACAATACAAAAAAAAACAAAAAACGCTTTTCTTACTTTTTCTATTCCAAATATCTCAATATTTAATTCTTAGATCAAGTAAAAATAATGTCTTGTTTTAAAAGTCAGATTAAATAAGGCAAAATTAAGAGTTTTTCCTTAAAATGAGCTAAATTATCTGCCAGTGGGGTGAGTAAAATAATCTTGTTTTCACTTTGAAATGAAGATATTTTGACTAGAGAGAAAAATAAAAAATCTAAAATCTTTTTTGCATAAATCGTATAAATACAGTGACTAAATACAATTATGTAGCTCCTGGTCAAATATAATTCAGACTCAACCTTGTATATCTTTGTGATGTGACTGTTGCAGATGCACACATTGCGATATTGATGCTGAAACAATTTATTGTACGGTCCTAATATATATATATATATATATATATATATATATATATATATATACATACAGTTAAAGTCAGTATTATTAATCGCCCTTTGATTTTTTTCTCTTTTTTTTAAATTTTTCCCAAATTATCTTTAACAGAACAAGGAAATTTTTCACAGTATGTCTGATAATATTCTTTCTTCTGGAGAAAGTCTTATTTGTTTTATTTCGACTTGCATAAAAGCAGTTTTTATTTTTTTAAACACTATTTTAAGGACATATTATTAGCCCCTTTAAGCTATATATTTTTTTTCGATAGTCTACAGAACAAACCATCATCATACAATGACTTGCCTAATTACCCTAACCTAACCTAGTTAACCTAATTAACCCTTTAAATGTCACTTTAAGCTGTATAGAAGTGTCTTGAAAAATATGTGGTCAGATATTATTTACTGTCATCATGACAAAGATAAAATAAATCTTAAAATTAAAATAAGATAAAATTATTACAGATGAGTTATTAAAACTATTATGTTTAGAAATTTGGAGAAAATCTGCTCTCCGTTAAACAGAAAACAGGAAAAAAATAAACAGGGGTGCTAATAATTCAGGGGGGCTAATAATTCTGACTTCAACTGTATGTATATATATGTACATACCCCCTGTTTTTTTCCCAATTTTTGTTTATCGGAGAGCAGATTTTTTTTTTTCAACACATTTCTAAATAAAATATCATCAGACATACTGTGAAAATGTCTTTGCTCTGTTAAAACATTATTTGGGAAATACTGTGGCTCATAATTCTGACTTTAACTGTAAAAAAACAAAAGTATTATTATATTATCAGTTTTATTAGATTAGCCCCCTTTTTTCTCATTGTTTATTGTTGATAATTATTTATGTGAACAGCATTTGTAAATAAAAAAGCTAATAATTTTTTCTTCGACTGCATAAACTCAATATTGGTCCTCATTATAAACAAAACATTTAAACAAGCTGTAAAATGAAAATAAAGAGAAACGTGTTCACTTGAAGTAAAATTTTTATCTCAAAATAGGCTGACCATTGACTTGCATTACGAATCACCTAGAACCACAGATTTAGCTAATAATCGTCTTTAATCTGACCCGCAAAGATTTCAGAATTCCACGATCGCTAAATCTAATGCAAAATCAAGCAAACATCACAATATTTTTTGGGGCTTGATTTCCACAAATTGCCACAGATTTCCTGCATGTTTTGGGCAGTCGGGACACTGTTTAAATTACCGCCGCACCACAGAACCACATATGCATAGTTTTACCTTCGAAAAACATTCCACTACGGGCGACCCAGTAGGTATTGCTATCACCTTACAGCAAGAAGGTGGCTGGTTCGAGCCTCGGCTAGCTCAGTTATCGTTTCCGTGTGGAGTTTGCATGTTCTCACTGCGACCCCAGATTAATAAAGGGACTGAGCCGAAAAGAAAATGAATGAATGAACATACACTACCTAAAAAGTCGTGTCGCCCATTCAAGTTTTAGGAACAGCAAATAATAACTGGACTTCTAGTTGATCATTTACTATCAGAAGTGGCTTATATATAGGGCAAAGGCCTCTAGATTATGCCTATTTAAACAAAATAAAATATGATCATGCCTTGATTTTTAATGATCTAATTAAAACAGTAAGATCTGACTTTGCTTAGACAAAAGTCTTGTTACTTATAATATCCAGTGTATAATATAAAGTCATGCTGCAGTGGAAACAGAATGAATGTTGTGTTATATATTGTTATACATCCCCAATGGATGTTTTTAAAACTTATACTGATTTAAACAGTACTGATTAATACCGAACTCGATACTTCTGACAAGCCTACTGTGAACTGTCAATTTTTCTGAACTATCCCCAGCTATAACATGATTGTTCACAAACCGTCATCCAGGTAGGCCTGGTCCAGGTTCTCCTGCTTGACCCTCACAGGACTGGCATGTCGGTGGTGCTGCGCGGGCAGGAGGCTGCGGGCGGGTGGAGATCGTCCTGCTGCTACATACGCTTTCTGATGGGCTGTGGTGTTGCAAAGCTCGGACACATCCAGGGTTGAAAACATGTTGGCGGATGATTGGATGCTGTCATTTCCTCTACTGTGCTGGTAGGCGCTGGACACAAACACAGGAGCAGAGCTGTGTGTCGTCCCCATGCACGAAGCATGAGCTGGAGAGGTGGAGAGGATGGATGCCATCTGGTAGTGGTGGATGGGCTCCAGGTGGTGCTGCGGGACGGCGGGATACATGGCAGATTGGGGGCGATGGTATGGCGCTCTGGTGGGCATCATGTAACCGTCTGTGAGACGGCCAGCGGGAGGAGAAACACCCATAATGGGAGACACACCACAGCCTAACTGTGCATAATGGTAATCTTCAAGAGGCTCCGCTTTAATCTGAGGAACTGGAGAAGAAATTAGTAAAGTCAGTTAAGGTCAAAATTATTAAACATCCTGGATATTTTTCCACCAATTTCAGTTTTTTTTTGTAATATTTAGTTTTAACATTTTTTATGAGATATTTTAACAAAAACAGTACAATACCAATAAAAAGAAGAGGAAAAAATAATACAAAATAATTGACATTAGCCCCCCACCCCCTCAAAAAAAAAACAAGGACAGATTGTCTCAGTTACCAAATAAACATACATAACATATGTGGCATAAACTATATATATATATATATATATATATATATATATATATATATATATATATATATATATATAGTTGAAGTCAGAATTATTAGCCCCCCTGAATTATTAGAACGCTTGTTGGATGGATTTAAAAATAATAGAATTTATATATATATAAATATATATATATATACATATATATATATATATATATATATATATATATATATATATATATACACACACACAGTTGATGTCAGAATTATTAGCCCTCCTGTGAATTTTTTTCCCCCAATTTCTGTTTAACGAAGAGAAGATTATTTCAACACATGTCTAATCATAATAGTTTTAATAACTCATTTCTAACAACTGATTTATTTTATCTTTGCCATGATGACAGTAAATAATATTTGACTAGATATTTTTCAAGACACTTCTATACAGCTTAAAGTGACATTTAAAGGCTTAACTAGGGTAATTAGGTTAACTAGGCAGGTTAGGGTAATTAGGCAAGTTATTGTATAATGATGGTTTGTTCTGTAGACTATCAAGAAAAAATAAGCTTAAAGGGGCTAATAATTTTGTCCCTAAAATAATGTTTAAAAAATTAAAAACGGCTTTTATTCTAGCCGAAACAAAACAAATAAGACTTTCTTCAGGAGAAAAAATATTATCAGACATACTGTTAACATTTCCTTGCTCTGTAAACAACATTTGGAAAATATTTTAAAAAGAAGAAAAAAAAAATCGAAGGGGGCTAATATAACTGCCACCTGCGCATCACTTCTGTGCTGGGCTGCGGCCCTCCAGGAATTGAGTTTGACATCCCTGCTTTAAGACCATTATGAATGAAATTTTAGACTTTACAGCAGGGGCGGACTGGGACAAAAATTCAGCCCTGGCACTGTTGCCACATCAGCCCACATTACCACACCGACACAGCCCCACCCACAGACATGCACATTCACTATTTATTTTGGTGTAAAGATGGTGAAATAATATGACATTTTTCCCAGATTTTGATTATGTTTGGGTAACCTTGGATTGGGTCGGCCCATCTTGAAACCAGGCGGCAGCTGCCGATTGGGCCAAATGCTTAACACTTATTATTATTAATATTTTTATTATCATCATCATAATATCACATCTAGCAAGAGATAAAAGCTGTCTGCACTTAAAAACAATACATAATTTTAAAAAAAACTGACCGGCCCACATTTAAAAATTGGTCCAGCCCTTCTGGCATTTGCCAGAATTGCCAGATGGCCAGTCCGCCCCTGCTTTACAGAGCTGAACACTAAGGATTTTTCTAATGGCCCAGTTACTTCTGTAATACTTCCTGTATGAATGGAAGATCATGTAAAGGGATGTGTTGCTTTAGTTATTTAGTTTTTCCTGATTAGGAAATTTAATTAAGAAAATTTGCTGTAAAAAATGACTAACAGCTATTTTAATATCTTTTTGCAATGAGAAAATTCAGTCAATAAAAAAAGTTTTGAGATGTATTATTGTCATCCTGAATGGGTATAGCTTTACTTGGACTTGTATGTGGGCTTGGAAATAAAGACTCTTTAAGGCCTAAAATGTAAGACTTTGAAGACCCTGCGGACACCCTGTGACTGCTAAATCATGTGCAGTTCTCACCTGAGAGAGGAGTGTAGGTGAAGTTCTGAGACTGGCTGCATTTCTTCTTCCCGTTCAGCACATGGAAGTTGACTTTTACTGGCCGGTAGATGTTTGTGTCCCGATACGGAGGAATCTCCAAGAACAACAGATTCTGATGGCAGAGCAGCATACAATGATCATCTGAACACCATTATTGATTTCTGCTCTGCTAATAATCTGCAGTACTCACAGATGTGCTTTTATCCCTGTAAACCTTCGCTTCAGACTCCCAGATCTGCAAGTCACCTAAGACCAGAAAACAACATTTAAATGCAGAACTATAGTAAGAGCTGAAACGTCAGACCATACTGTTGTTCTTTTATAAATAACATCTATTTAACAACATGCTAATTCATACTAGTAACATGGTAATATGGTAACTAATACAAGCAGCAAGCTAATTCATACCAGAAACCTGTTAACAACATGTTAATTCATACTATAAATATGCTAACATGTTAATTGATACTAGAAACAAGGTAGCAACATGCTAATTCATGCTAGAAACATGCTAACAAGCTAATTCATACTAAAATACGCTAATTCTAGAAATGTGCTAACAAGAATAGTAGAATAGTGCTAACAACATGCAACCTATTGCTATGAACATACTAATTTATAATAGAATAATAACATGTTATTTCATACAAGAAACATGGTAACAACATATTAATAATTCATACTAGAAACATTCAACAACAACATGCCATGCCTGTAGAATAATGCTGAGAACACGCTAATTATTGTTTAAATCATGTTAACAACATGCAAATTCAAACTAAATTATGCTAATTCAGACTAGAATCTTGCTAAAAACATGCTAATTCATACTAGAATCATTACAACAAATTAATTTACACAATAAACATGATAGCAACATGCTAATTCATACTAGAAACATACTAAAAACAAGTCAGTTTATTCATAGTGGAATAATGCTAACAACATGCTAAATATATTGTTAAACTCATGCACATTTATGGTAAATTATGCTAATTTACACTAGAATCTTGCTATAAACAAGCTAAATCACACTAGAATCATGATAACATGTTAATTCATACAAGAAACTTGGTAGCAACATGCTAATTCATACTAGAAACATGCTAACAACATGCTATGTCAGTAGAATAATGGTAAGAACGCACTAATTATTGCTATTCATATTAAATTCATATTAAATTATGCTAATTCACACTAGAATCTTGTTAAAACATGCTAATTCATACTAGAATCATGACAACACATTATTCTTGCAAGAAACATGGTAGCAACATGCTAATTCATTCTAGTCAATTCATTCATAGTAGAATCATGCTAACAACATGCAAAATATTGCTAAAATCATGCAAATTTATAGTAAGTTATGCTAATTCCCACTAGAATCTTGCTAAAAGCATGCTAATTCATACTAGAATCATGACAACACGTTAATTCATCCAAGAAACATATTAGCAACATGCTAATTCATTCTAAAAACATGCTAACAACATTTCAATTCATTGATAGTAGAATAATGTTAACAACATGAAAATTATTGCTAAAATCATGCAAATTTACAGTAAATTATGCTAATTCACACTAGATTCTAGAAATAAACATGCTTATTCATTTTAGAATCATGATAACAACATGCAAATTCATACTTAATTATGCTCATTCACACTAGAATCTTGCTATAAACATGCTAATTCATACTAGAATCATGATAACAAGTAAATTCACACAAGAAACTTGGTAGCAACATGCTAATTCATACTAGAAACATGCTAATTATTACTAAAATCATGTTAACAACATGCAAATTCATATTAAATTATACTAATTCACTCTAGAATCAAGCTAAAAACATGCTAATTCATACTAGAATCATGATAACAACATGCTAATCCATACAAAAATCATGTTAAAAGAAATCAGTCATTAATTATCAAAATGATCAAAGGTGTTCTGGCTGGTTCCTAAATTATTTTTCACAATCAAATGAATTTTTACTTATTACTTTTTTTGCAAGTTTCATTAAGCACTGGGTGTTAATGATTAAATAAAAAAATACATTTAAAATGTAATGATATTAGTGTTTTTAACTATATTTGTGGCTCATAAATTTTGTTTTATTAAACTTTTTGAACATCTACAATCTAACATCTGTCTCCTTAGAGACATTGAAGATTGGCACTCATTTAAGTTGGGGTGGGGACGACTGTAACTAATTTACATTCGTTCACATGCAAACGCCTCTGTGTATCCTCACTATTTATTGTTGAAAGCCACAACAAACCTCTGTCCTGCGACTCTACATCTGCATCAGAGAGAAAGTTTTTGTGCACAGAGGATGAAACTCCCACTCTCCTGCTGCTTTACTTTTGCAGCTCGACTTTGAGCGCAGGAAAGGAAAGAGACTCTGCTTGTAGATGCTATCACTGCAGAGCAAAACCACATCCTCTCGCACCACACTGCACACCTAAATGGAAAGTGCTGCTAAAAAGTTTACTTGCGTCAGAAACTGTAGGCCGTTTCTGCAGGACGTCAATGAGAGTTACGGCTGATGTTTGCAATTGTCCTTTTGTGATTCTGAAATTGCATTCAGTCTGTGCCAATGCTGTCATTCACTATATAAACTTAGAACCATTATGACCAACAATTTAAACAATTTCTTTTTTAATTTATTTATTAATTACTCTAGTTACTTGGTTTTGCATCTACAGTTTATTTTTTATTTTTTTAACGGAACAATTTCCTATTATCCTATTCCTATTATTTATATTTTCCTTCCTATAAAAAGTTAAAGTCAGAATTATTAGCCTCCCTTTGAATTTTTTTTCTTTCTTAAATATTTCCCAAATGATGTTTAACAGAGCAAGGACATTTTCACAGTATGTCTGATAATATTTATATTATAATATATTTTTTATATTTTTTATCTGGAAAATTTCTTATGCGTTTTATTTTGTCTAGAATAAAAGCAGTTTTAAATTTTTTTAAAAACATTTTTGGGATAAAATTATTAGCCCCTTTAAGCTAATTTTTTTTTTCCGACTATCTACAGAACAAACCATTGATTTACAATAACTTGCCTAATTACCCTAACCTGCCTAGTTAACCTAATTAACCTAGTTAAGCCTTTAAATGTCACTTTAAGCTGTATAGAAGTGTCTTGAAAAATATCTAGTCAAATATTATTTACTGTCATCATGGCAAAGATAAAATAAATCAGTTATTAGGAATGAGTTTTTAAAACTATTATGTTTAGAAATGTGCTGAAAAAATCTTCTCTCCGTTAAACAGAAATTGGGAAAAAAAAATTAACATGGGAGCTAATAATTCTGACATCAACTGTGTGTATGTATATATATATATATATATATATATATATATATATATATATATATATATATATATATATATATATATATATATATATATATATATATATATATATATATATATATATATATATATATATATATATATATATATATATATATATATATATATATATATACATATCTACACATCTATATATAACATAATAACAATATAATCATGCATTTATATCATTATGTTGTATGTAGATATGTATTTACAAACAATGGTTTAAGTATCTTACTGCTTATTTGTCCACAATACTCCACACAAATATTAGCTTAAAGTTATTAACGATGCATATAAAATAATCACAGTGCTCAGCATATATGAGTACACCCCTTAGAAATCTCCAATTTAAGTTAAGGTTTTTTATAGGATGCTTTACAATATTATATTTGTGCATACACATTAGTTTAGTCAGTACTGAAACCAAATCTGGAGCTAATCTAACAAAAATAACTTACGATAATAGTTCAGAAATTAGTAGCCCAAATCTATATGTTGGGGGAAAATATTAAATAACATTTTCCAAAACAGCAAAAATCAAGAGAAGAAAAAATGTATACAATTTAGTTGAAATTTTGTAGGTTTTAATTTTTTTTTTTTTGCAATATTTTGCATGAATTTAAATGTATTATATTTCCATTTTTTTATTTTATAATATAATAATAATAAATAATTATATATATATATATATATATATATATATATATATATATATATATATATATATATATATATATATATATATATATATATATATATATATATATATATATATATATATATATATATATATATATATATATATATATATATATATATATATATATATATATATATATATATATATATATATATATATATATATATATATATATATATATATATATATATATATATATATATATATATATATATATATATATATATATATATATATATATATATATATATATATATATATATATATATATATATATATATATATATATATATATATATATATATATATATATATATATATATATATATATATATATATATATATATATATATATATATATATATATATATATATATATATATATATATATATATATATATATATATATTTTTTTTTTTTTTTTTTTTTTTTTATAAATATATCTGTTTAATAAATCTGGTTTGTTTAAACACACCAAAATACATTGTCTATACTTACAGAAATAGATAAAAATATTCAATTTCAAAATGGGGTGTGCACAACTATGCTGAGCACTAGGGACAGGTACCGAAACTCTGTACTTTATCGGTATCGGTGCTACATTATAAAAGACTGAATTATCGATAAGCTCTGACGTTAACGGTTCTGATATCGGTACTGGAAAACTATTGTTGAATAAACATTACTTACAGTAGCATAATTAACTGACCAACCTTTTCTAATTTGCGATATTTGATATTAGTCGGCACAGTTGGCAATCTCATGAGAAATGCTTGTGTTTCCGGCGAGCGCATAAGGTAAAGCTTTCACAGTTCTTGGCGGAGCGCACACACATAACTCGCGACACAGACTCGCACTCAGCAGCTCGTGAGTTTGCGGAGTCATCCAAACGAATTGTATTTCCAGAGTGGACTGCGACAATTCCCATTGCAACAAGTTGTTTTCTTGTATAAGCGGAAACGCAAACAATCTGGCTAAGTGAAAGTATCTTTCAAAAGTGCATTAACTGCAGTGCAAAGTTTTGACTGCCTAGCTACTAACATCTAGCTACATCTAAGCTATTTTTGCTATTTTTATTTTTAAATCGAAGCAACTTAAATCCAAGTCAATCATATCTTAGTGAATAATAAAACTGACAATGAAACATATGAGGCAGAATAGTCAGTTCAGTTATTTACTGTAAATAGTATGCTGTACTAAACAGAAACACAAGTTATTGCATCTTAACATGTAATTCTCGAGGTATGGTCACGAGGAATACCTCTTCAAAAATAACTCCTCTCCCTCAGTCATCTTTCCATCAAGCAAGTTTCTGTTGGCAACATCGCCAACCAGCGGTGGCAGTAACGCACCAAAAAGTTTGTTGTCGAACACCGTAAAACAGGAAGAAGAATTTCTCATTCTAGCCATCATATGGATTTACTATCATCGGCTACACACCGGCCCCACATCTCCGTGAATGTCGGTGCCGTCACTTATTGATCCGCAATCTGTAAATGTAGCTTGTGTGGACGTTACTTGACTAATAAAATAGCGACGCTATCGCCAAGCTACTGAGAAATGTAGTTAAGCTAGTAACGTTACTGCCCAACACTGTTAAATAAACACACTCCGTTACAATGAAAACAGTATTTTTGTTTTTTTCTGCAGTAGCCTAAATACATTTTCAACATTAAAAATGCTTTGACATCAGCTGCATTTACAAATATAGCCTAAAAAAAGCCTAATAATAAACTGTGCTTATTAATATATGATAAAAAAACTGCTTGTTTTTACATTGCAAGATGATCCAAAACTGTATTAAAAACACAGTTAACTCCCAAAACACCGTTAACACATTTATACGAATGCGTTAATGAAAAAATGATTAAAATCATCAACATTATCTCATTTAACTGCATTTTGCAACTCAAAGAGGGTATTTTCAACTGCAGGGAGCACTAAAGAAAGATCCTGACTTCTGCCAGAAAAGTCAAACATGTCGATTTTTTCTGCAGAAGAATAATTAAAAACTGAGAGTAATTTTTCTTTACACCATACTACATTCTTTTACAGGAAAAATTGTATTTATGTTTTACAATTATTTGTTTTGTTTTATTTTTTGTTGTTTTATTTTATTATTTTATAAAAGATAAAATAAAATAAAGTTGTTCATTTCTAATTGTTATTTTTTTTTCATAAAAAATACAGATAAGAGAACTGTTAAAGAACTGAACCGATAAGTGGTATCAATAAAAGTAGTAATATCGTTATTAAAAACTTAACAATACCCATACCTACTGAGCACTGTATATATTATAAAAATAATTTGTTATAAACTCCCAAAAAACCTAAACAAAACATTCACATTTGGTCTACATATATCGTGTAAACGAACAGTGTGTAGGTGTTGGTTCTGAGGTTTCTGACGTCTTTAAAAACAGACAGTGTGTGCTGTGTTTGTGTTTATGCAAGCTTTGCAAGTCTTATCTGTTTTTCACTCTCGTGTTGCAGTCTCTCGTGTAATCCAACACTTCATGACTCCAGCCTAGACCACCATTTTTCAGTATATGCAAAGCACATCAATGCACCTTTAAACAAACTGTATGCTAATCATCTTCACGGATGGCTGACAACGCCTGCAGAAGTCAAATATTAATGGAGTTGTGTGTCGTTGTTAAGATGCTACAGCACCAAATTACAAGCTGATTTCACCTTATGTGAAAGTTATTCATTCAAAAAAGGTGAAATTGGTTCCTAATTTAATTTTTCCCTTTAAAGATTACATTTTACAAGGGCTACAGATTTAACAATTATTTCTACACCACTCTCCTGCCTGCCCGAATTGCTGGAATGTCTCACATATCGAAATATTATGTTCATTCATTCATTTTCCTTCGGCTTATTCCATTTATTCATCAGGGTCACCACAGCGGAATGAACTGCCAACTTATCCAGCATATGTTTTACAAAGCAGATGCCCTTCCAGCTGCAACCCAGTACTGGGAAACACCCATACACTCTCACATTCACAAACACACACTACGGCCAATTTACTTTATGTAATTCACCTATAGCGCATGTCTTTCGACTGTGGGGGAAAGCGGAGCACCTGGAGGAAACCCACATCAACATGGGGAGAACGTGCAAACTCCACACAGAAATTCCATTGGTTTGCACTAATAATCAGCAGAGGAGTTTGACTCACCATGCGTTTTCTCAAAGAAGATGACTTTGGACTCTGGAGTGAAGTTCTGGCCTCTGAGGATCATCTGCGCTCCGCCTAGAACTGAAGAGTGATCTGTGTCCTGATGCTCCACCGCTGGATGCTCATGACCGGACCTTTGAGCTGGCAGACAGCCCAAGACATTTATTAAGATTAAAACGTTATATTTGACTATTTTTTATCAGAATTATTACAACTAAAGATTAACGAAATACATAAATAAATAGATAAATATACTGTAAAATCTTATGTTTTTAGATATGAATAGTGCTAATATGAATGAGTACACCCTAATGCTGCATTCACACCAGACGCATAACTCGCGGATAAATCGCGATATTCGCGCGTAAATAGCCACGTGAACATTTGAGTTTACTCGCTTCATTCCCGCATGAAACCGCTTCATTCGCTTGTCAAATTCACTTCAGAACAGTCGCGGATTCTCGTGTGTGATGGGCAGGGCTTCTGTCTGCCCGGCGACTCTAGCTTCATTGCTAAATGGCAAACATGGATTTTATTAAGAAAATAACAGTGTTTATTTGCTTTATGAAGGCTGAAAAACAGAGTTGATATGTTTAGGGTCGTGTCTGAGTCCACTACATCCTTTCAGAGGTGCATCCAGCTCTGTGAGCTCATAAACTCCTCCAGAAACTGAACCTGGATGACGGAGGCTTTCAGCGGTGCTTCTGACAGAGCCAAGCCCAGTTTAATGAACTGTACGATACGTCACAATCACGCCCCCACAAGAGCAAGCTCCTGATTGGTTAACGCGGCGCTAATGTCCGCTGAAGTTCAGATTTTTGAACTCGAGTGATTCACGTTAAACGCGCAAAACACTCATGTCGCGCCACACCATACGATGTGTTCACCATTTGCACCGCACAATTCGCGAAATTCACGCCGTATCGCGCCGCAGGATGTTTATTCGCGTGTTTGCATTGACTTAACATGTAAATCATTCGCACTTGACGCGCGTTCCGCGTCTGATGTGAACGCAGCATTACAGATCTCTCTTTTAAATTAATATTTTCTATAAAATGCTTTACAATAAAATATTTTGTATTATTAACCCTTGATGAGTTCCCTAGACCGGTGGTCAGAAAGACGCGCACCGCGGTTGTCATAAATCACAAATGATCAGTGTTTTCAATCACAAGAGACTTATTTTAGGTGTCAAATAACGAATTGCACGAAATTAGTAGTATCACAGTTCGTGAAATACACCACGGCTGTCTGTGAAAAGGGCAATAATCATATTAAGCATAATCCGACAACATGCTTACTTCATACTGTATACACACTGTGTGCATAATTAGACATTTTGTGCTGTCCGTAATTGTACTTTTGCGCATGCGGGTCAGTTTAGGACCATGATCTGTTCACACAGCAAATCTGATATTGGCCACATTTATGTCAACAATGTGAACAGCCATGCAAAAAAATCTGATCTGAGAAAAAAAAATCTGATTCAGAACGTAGCCTTAGAGGTTTTTGCATCTGAACTCTTTATATACTTATTTAAATGTAATAATTACATTTAAATATCTAAAATTCACATATAAGAGCATTAATATTATAAAGCTTTCCATGCAAAAGTAAGTGCAATAAAATGTGGGCCAATGAGTTAAGTAAGATTTAATTGAAAAATGTAAATGCATACAGCATTCAATGGTCTGCGAGGCCACTTGGAGAGAAAGCCACTGTCCTCCAGGTTGAGGAATATGGACACGGAAGACCAATCTCACACGGGTGTTTTTCCGTCCCACATCCGTCTCTCCTTTCTTCAGCTCGATGTCAGCATTCCTCAGCTTCAGAATACCGGCACAGTCAATTCTATAAACAAAAACAGACTTTTAACAAGTAAACCTTCCTTTTATCACATGCTGTTCATGTTTCATTCTTTCTGGGGGAGAGGACCCGACCACATTTCTGTAGCGCGGGAATAAATTTCCAATTAAGCGTGGGAGCGGACGGTAACAGGTTTAATTTTGGACAGAAGCGGGCGGTTCCACAATATCGCTCCTAGCTCCCCACTCCCGAGCAAGCAAGCACGCGCATGTATATGTGTGAAAGAGACAGCATGATGCTCCGTTTAGCTTGTTTGTTGCTGTCTGTGTGAGCTTTGTGCTCTCTCTGTGTGTGTGTGTGTGTGTGTGTGTGTGTGTGAATGAAAGAGAGAGGGAGACGCTGTCAATGTGTGTGTGTGTGTCACTTGCTTGTGCTTGTGTGTGTGTGTGTTTATACAGACAGCGTGTTATAGGCTGTCTGTACTCTGTACAGCTGGGTGGTTTTCAGTGTTGATCTCCCCCCGTCCGTTAGCGGGAACGGGCGCGGCGGGTAGAAAACGGGGCGGGTCGGGCAGCGGGACAACAAATGCTGAATATAAGCGGGAGCGGTCTGGTTCGGGATAAAACCTGGCGGGTGCAGGCAGGAGCGGGAATTTAGTCCCGCGCAGATCTCTATTCTGGGGCTTCTTTAATTTATTTCTGGCATATACCATTCTGGCTCAGTCCCTTATTAATCAGGGGTTGCCACAGCGGACTGAACCACCAACTATTCAGGCATATGTTTATGCAGCGGATGCCCTTCCAGCCACAACCCACTACTGGAAAACATCCATACACACTCATTCAAACACACACACAATCATACTTTACACTATGGCCAATTTTGTTTATCCAATTTACCTATAGTGCATATGTTTGGACTGTGGGGGAAACCGGAGTACCTGGAGGAAACCCACACCAACACGGGAGAACATGCAAACTCCCCACAGAAATGCCAACTGGACCCGTTGGGACCCGCAACCTTCTTGCTATGAGCCGACAGTGCTAAACACTGAGCCACCGTGCTACCCGATCTTCTTCATGTGTAAGGATAATTACTGTGAAAAGCCCTTTACAAATAAACCTGAATTGAACTGAATGTGATAATAATAATGTTCTTACACAGCTCTCATGTTCTCCTTGGGTTCCATCGGCACCTCAAGGATCTTGGTTCCGTTCAGCATTCGGTCTTGGCTGTTGGTGGTGACGGTCTTGCCGGTGATTCGGTGGACCTGGTAAAAGGCGTGAGGCCTAAGGTTCCTGTCATCAGCCGTGCCAATAAAGATCTGGAGAACCAGCGGCTCCGTCCCGGTGTACCCTCGCAACTGAGACAGCCCAAAACACAGTTAAAATTCACATGACATCAAGCCTAACCCTGTTGATTTTGTTTGCTCTCATTGCAAGTTTAGGCACTACATTCCGCTGTGGCGACCCCGGATTAATAAAGGGACTAAGCCGAAAAAAAAAAGAAATGAATGAATAAATGAATGAATGAATGGATGAATTGCTAGTTTTGTGGTGAACAATTCATCTGTCAGTGTCATTAAAAAAAGGTTTGCCCTTGTAATCTAAAATTGAAATCTGAAAATGCACTTCCTGTTTGTTTTGAGTTAAATTCTCAGATTGGGTGTATCTGAGGTAGTGTGTGTAGCTAACTTACTTAACTACGCCTCCTCCAACTGACAGAAAAAATAAAAAGGTGAGGAGGAGGAGCCTGTTAGGTTGTGATAATCTTTCTGTATGAAATCCCTTTACGACATCCAATCAGTTCGCAGTAAAGAAAACAAGCCACACCCACTTTTTTACTTATTTGATATTCCGTTTCTGGGTGACGCAGTGGCGCAGTAGGTAGTGCTGTCGCCTCACAGCAAGAGGGTCGCTGGTTCGATCCTCGGCTCAGTTGGTGTTTCTGTGTGGAGTTTGCATGTTCTCCCTGCCTTTGCGTGGGTTTCCTCCCGGGTGCTCCGGTTTCCCCCACAGTCCAAAAACATGCGGTACAGGTGAATTGGGTAGGCTAAATTGTCCGTAGCGTATGAGTGTGTGTGTGTGTGTAAATGTGTGTGTAAATGTGTGTGTGGATGTTTCCCAGGGATGGGTTGCGGCTGGAAGGGCATCCGCTGCGTAAAAACTTGCTGGATAAGTTGGCAGTTTATTCCGCTGTGGCGACCCCGGATTAATAAAGAGACTAAGCCGACAAGAAAATGAATGAATGAATATTCCGTTTCTCTAGGAACTGCGTCACAATACGAGAGAAAAAAAAAATACGGTCGCAGCTTCCAGTTCACGCAGACTTTAAAAGGACAGGTCAATGAAAAAAGAAAACACTGTCATCATTTACTTATCTGTGAAGGGCTTGCAGCAGCTGTTCGTAAGTTCTTTCCTAAACTAGAACGTAAACTACTAGCTAATTTGTGACTAAATTTGTTCTTCGATTACACCACATGTTCTTAAGGCAAACCGTAAGCTCTCCGTAAAGTCATGCATAGTCGCATTGAATGACGTAATATCCAATAAGAAGCATTTAAATCGTTAAACTGCTTTAAAATTCTGCAACTAATGCATCTATATGAAACTCTTCTATGAAAATTCAATAACAAAATAAATTTTTATAGTACATTACAGTCAGTCACTAATAACAGACGACGCACACACCTGCATCATGAGCCATAAATGCACGCAAAATACACATGAATTTATTAAAACATTACACTTGATTTTTTAATATATGAAACAGAAAATTGCAGGTAGAAGAACTCAGTCATGAAGAAATTCCCATTTTAATTGACAGATACAATTAACACAAATCCCTCCTTGAGTGAAGTTTATTTATAAACTACTTAAGATTGCTTGCAGCCGGTCCCGCATTATTCAATTTATAATTCACCAATCAGACGATTTCTAAGCCACTATAAATAACCTAAGTTCCATATCACAGCCATCTTCGTTTTGAAGAATCCCCCCTTCCACCCCTACTACTACTCCTTCTTTCCTGAATGGGTGGCACGGTGGCCCAGTGGTTGCCTCTCTGCAATAATGTCACTGGTTCTAGTCCTTACCAAGCAAGCTGATGTTTCTGTGTGGATTTTACCCGTTCTCCCCGTGCTTACGTGAGTTTCCCCCGGGTTCCCCGGTTTCCTCCCACCGTCCAAAAACATGCAACTTAAGTTAATTGACTAATCCAAATCAGCACCATAGACATGCTCCTAGTAAGTAGTTATCTCTTAAGAGCAATCACTTTGTTCATTAGCTACAACAGCAAAGGAGTTCTCGAGATCTACCTGAGCTCAAACTCCCCTCTTACCTTGCAAACGAGAGGGAGCCCCGGGCTTGAGGATCTTGTGAGCTCAGGGCTCCCTCCCGGGACAGCATGCCAAAAAAGCTTTATAATCAATCATCAGCTAAGTGTAAACTCTTGAAAAGAAAATTAAAATCTTCTTCCACAAACCGAAAACAACGTGAGATTTGCGAGGAAAATGAGGCTGTGAGCAGAGGGAGATCAATCTTTATAATCATTGTAAGCTCCTCAATGTGAACATGGGGGAAGCTGCCTTAAATATTTAGTTGGAACGTAGCGTTGTTTAAACTAAATTTAGTGGTGCGATACAAAAATATTTAGTGGTTTGTAAGTTGTGTCCCTTTAAGTCACTACTAGGCTACTAGGCTTCAGCCGGCAGCTAGCTCTCTGCAACTCACATAGACACCCACTGAAGCTTAACAGGGCTGCACCCAGTCAGTACCTGGATGGGAGACCACATGGAAAAGCTAGGTTGCAGCCAGAAGTGGTGTTAGTGAGGTAAGCAGGGGGCGCTCAACCAGCAGTCTGTGTGGATCCTAACGCCCCAGTATAGTGAAGGGGACTCTATACTGCTCAGTGGGTGCTGTCTGTCAGATGAGACGTTAAACCGTGTGGTGTGCGGTCTGGTGCAATATGGCTGCCGTCGCATCATCCAGGTGGATGCTGCACACTGGTGCTGGATAAGGAGATTTCTCATAATGTGTAAAGAGATTTGAGTGTCCAGAAAAGCGCTACATAAACATAAGGAACTAATTATTATTATGTTTTAACTTGCCACTAATCTGGCCACTAATGTCACAAACCCAAACACAAACTCACTTGAAAAAATACTATAGAAATTTATAGTAAATATTATAGTGCTTTTAATCTATACTCTGTAAAATACACTAATGAATTAGTTGCAATGGTAACATAACATCTATAGTAATACAGACCAATGACCTATTTATGTAGTTTGACAACTATAGGGCATATTATACTACAGTAAACCACAGTAGTAAAACTAAAGTATACTACAGCATTTATTACAGTTTATCAGTTCACTGTAGTTAATACTACACTATGCTGGGGCATTCATTAACAAAGTGTTGTAAATAAAATACCATATAATACACCACTATAGTAAGGGTCAAAAACACTAGTGTTTACAATAAATCACTAGAATGTTTTCATGTGGGAAAAAAGATATTTTAAGCAATGTTGGAAAACTATAGCTATTAATTCATATTTGACAACCAGTTTTTAACATTCTTCAAAATATCTGCTTTTGTGTTCAATGTAAAAACAAATATATGATGGTTTGGAAGCAGCTGAGGGAAAGCAAATGATGAATACATTTTAATTTTAGGGTGAACTACGCCAAATATGTGCATATGCTTCACACTATGCTAACAGCCTACACTGTAAAAAAGAAACCTAATTTTACAGAAAATATCTCTAAATTTTTTACAGTAAATTTTTGTCACTTCCAATTATATTCAAAACTTACAGTATATATTCAGAAATATTCAGAAATTACAGTATTATTTAAACAGTATTTTTCTGTTATTTTAAATTATATACAAAAGTCCGTAAAAATTACAAACAATATATGTAAATTACCAGCTTGACTGTAACAATCTAGGAAATTCTGTAAAATAAGTGTTTTTCTGTAAACATTTCAATGAAAATATCTGTAGATTTATAATTTTTTGTACTTTATTTCAACAAAGAAATTGTACCGTAATTTTATGGTTTTCGTTTGGCAGCCGTAGCTGCCAGTCATTTGACCTTTTTTTTATTCATTCATTTTCTTGTCGGCTTAGTCCCTTTATTAATCCGGGGTCGCCACAGTGGAATGAACCACCAACTTATCCAGCAAGTTATTACGCAGCGGATGCCCTTCCATCCGCAACCCATCTCTGGGAAACATCCACACACACATTCACACACACACTCATGCACTACGGACAATTTAGCCTACCCAATTCACCTGTACTGCATGTCTTTGGACTGTGGGGGAAACCGGAGCACCTGGAGGAAACCCACGCGAAGGCAGGGAGAACATGCAAACTCCACACAGAAACGCAACTGAGCCGAGGTTCGAACCAACCACCTTCTTGCTGTAAGGCGACAGCACTACCTACTGCGCCACTGCCTTGCCGACCTTTTTTTTTTACGATTTCTTTTTTTTTTTTTTACAGTGTAGCAATGACCTAACATTAGAATAGAGTCTATAAATAAATGTGTGACTGCGATGACATTACAAAAAAAAAGATTTGCTGTGTCTAAATGCAATTGTTTGCTCTTTTTTGAAGAATCTGTGTGTATGCATCAAATCACAACACATGATATCTTCTTTTTCAACAGTACTGATGTTGATACAGTGTGTATGATATGCATATATCTGTGTGTAGCTGATGTGACATGTTTCAGTGATAGCGACAACACGGATCCTCATTTCCCTAAATGTGCGCATCACACTGTAACAGGGAAATAACGTCACCACAACGGTTGCATTATCTCTCTATCTATCTCTCTCCTATTCATTTCTCTTATCAAGCTCTTCGCTCTCAGTTTCAGGTCTTTAAATCACAATTATTTGCGTGCTTTTTCACACAAAGCGATTCTAAAGAATTGTTATATCCACTTCCCACACATCCTATCAAACAAAACCTACATTTCCGGCCTCCCACAGCTTTCCTTTTTCCTCTAAATACACATCTTTGTCTTCAATTTACCTGAACAACAGGATGGCCTCCGCTGGATGCTTTGACAGCCCCTCGGCTGCCCTCAGTCTCGTAGTGGGCCCGGTGGTGTTGTCTGGGTTGAGCCTCGATTCTGAGCTCATACTGGCCACTGCTGCATGGAAGAGGCCAGTCCAGCGCAGGCAGAGCAGCCACTGGCATACTGGGAGAGGACAGACTGTCAGTAATACCAACTACCACCACATATTACTTATTTAGTAACTTAAAGAGTTAGTTCACCCAAATATTTTCACACAATTCTCTCATCTTTTACTCTACTTTATTTAACGTTTATGGGTTTCTTTCTTCTGTTGAACACAACAGAAGATATTCTGAAGAAATCTGGAAACCTATAACGTTTATTGTGTTTGATTTTACCAACTCTGGAAGTCAATGGTTGCAGGTATTCAGCTTTAGTAAATATATCCTTTATCTAGAAATATAAATAGGTTTGGAACCTTGAGGAAGAGTAAATAGTGAGAAAATGTGTATTTTTAGGTGAACTATCCCTTTAATAAGCAGATTTTGGGAATAAAATCCATTGGAATAACAAGTATTTTAATCTGAGGCATAAAGATATTTAGTTTTTGAATATAAAAGCATAAGCTATGTCTCAGATTTTCCTCTAAAACTTTGTTAGAAAAAAAAAATAGGGAAAACATGAAAAAAATGTATAAAGCTAAAATCAAATGTGGTTTAATCCTCAAATCAATCAATTTCCCATCATATTTAAAGGGATAGTTCACCTAAAAATGAAACATGTCATCGTTTATTTATCCTTCATCTGTTGCAAAAGTTTCTTTTTCTGTTTGCTTGTACCTACTATGGAAGTCGAAGGTTTTCAGCTTTAGTAAATATATCCTCTATATAGAAATGCATAAAAATTTGCATCCCCCTGAGGAAGAGTAAATAGTGAAAGAAATTGTGTATTTTTAGGTGAACTATCCCTTTAATAAGCAGATTTTAGGAATAAAATCCATTGGAATGACAAGTATTTTAATCTGAGGCATAAAGAAATTGAGTTTTTGGTTATTAAAGCATAAACTATTTCTCAGAATTGCCTCTAAAACATTGTTAGAGGACATAAATAGGCAAAACATGACAAAAATGTATGAAGCTAAAATTGAATGTGGTTTAATGCTCAAATCAATCAATTTCCTTTCTTATTTAAAGGGATAGTTCACCCAAAAATGAAACCTCTGTCATCATTTATTTATCCTTCACCTGTTCTTAAAGTTTCTTTTTCTGTTTGATTTTTAACTACTCTGGAAGCTGGTGGTTGCAGGTTTTTAGCTTTATTGAATATATCTGCTATCTATAAATATATATAGGTTTGGAAGTCCTTCGGAGAGAGGAAACAGTAAAAAAAAAAATATTTTTAGATGAACTATCGCTTTAATAAGCAGATCCTGGGATAAAATCCATTGGGATAACAACTATTTTAACCTGAGGTTTAAAGATACTGATTTTTTGATTATAAAAGCATAAACTATTTCTCAGATTTGCCTCTAAAACTTTATTAGGAGAAATAAAAAGGCAAAGCATGCAGAAAATGTATAAAGCTAAAATTAAATGTGGTTTAATGTTCAAATCAATAAACTTACCATCATATTTAAAGGGATAGTTCACCCAAAAATGAAACCTGACATCATTTATTTATCCTTCGCCTGTAGCAAAAGTTTCTTTTTCTGTTTGCTTTTACCTACTCTGGAAGTTGATGGTTGCAGGTTTTCAGCTTTACTGAATATATTTTCAATCTATAAATATTAGGGATGTAACGGTATTGTAAATACCGTCATACCGCAATATAAAAGTCGCATGACTCGGTAAAACTATAGGTCTTCAGAGAAAATTTGCTCAGGCAAATGAAGCGAACGGGAGGTAGCTGAAACTTCATTTCCCATCAGCCCCGGCGTGGCCATAATCCTTTGCGGTCTGTTGTCGCTACAGATCCAGTAATGCGGAAATGGAGTGTGCTGCTAGTAGCGGAGATGAAAAAAAGATGGAAATGATCGAACCTAAAGCGGGTGTTGTCGCCGCGCGCGTGCTGAATAGCGGTGCTGTCGCGCGCGTTCTGATCAGCTGTGTTGTGGCGCGCGTATTGTAAAGCGCCGAGGGGGGGTTGAGCGCGCATACTCAAGAGAGGTGTTATCGCGCGCCTACTGAAGGGCTGGACTGGACGGAGGTTGTGTCGCGTCGCGGGGGCACTTTTGATCGTTTTGGAAGGGCATTTTCTATCCAAGACTAAAAAGGGCATGTGCACTGCACAGGTTGAGCCCTATGTGTGCACGTGCCTGCAAGTTGGGGAATACGACTAATAACAGTCATGGGGACTGCAGAAACACAGCACACTGTTCAGATTGATGCAGACATTGACTTGTACCGCAAAGAGACCTCTATCTCACTCATGGTTTGTCCTCTCAAGTGGGGGAAAGACAATGCACAATGTTACCCCACTGCTGTCAACATGGGCCAAGTCATATCTCTCTTGTCCCAGAATCCTCAGTCCCAAATGAGAGGGTTTTTTTCTGTTGCAGGGGACATTGTAAATACCCAGAGATACCAGCTTTTACCAGATTATAGTTATATGATAATTTTCCTTTAAACCCATCTCTATCTAAGTGAGTGAGTGATTAAATGTTAAATGTGATGAGTTTTCAACAATACTAAATTGAAACTTTATTTTTTTACATGGTTTAATAATTTTTTGTTATTAAAATTGAAGTTCCTGTTTCAAAGCTAACAGATAGATGGCTAATTTGTATGTCATTGACACTTTTGGCACTTTTTTGGAGTATTTTCAAAAGTTTTTTTTTTTCCTGTAAATGATTCAATAAATACCGTACCGTGACATTCATACCGAGGTATTACCGTACCGTGAAATTCTGATACCGTTACATCCCTAATAAATATATATAGGTTTGGAAGGCCATCGGAGAGGGTAAATAGTGAAACAATTTGTATTTTTAGGTGAACTATCCCTTTAATAAGCAGACTTTGGGAATAAAATCCATTGGAATAACAAGAATTCGAAGAAATAAATAAGCTAAACATTCTTCTGTATTAGTATAGCTGATTAACCACAAGAATTATTTATATTATTTAATAAATTTCCCATTATTGTATTTAACGTCTACCCAACCCCAACCCTAAAGCCAACCATCACAATAATGTAAAAACAGATCTGGAACTAGAGCCTTCTCAATTAATATAGCTGATTAACAATGTGTATGGATGATAACAGCCTTCTGAGCCTACTAGTAGGCTCACAAGGCCCCTAGTGGCCCATACCTATTAGCTGAAAATCACCGATACTGGCCATTCAATTGAGTAATAACATTAGAAGCGGGTGACACTAACATTACACATATATTGGTAAATCTCATTTGTTTTGTTCTTAAGAGTCTCATGCTAGTGAATGAAGCCATCTGCTAATAACAAATACGTATAAAACTCTGGCTTTGTCCTGAGTCTGATTAATTGATCAGTTTTTCATACCTACAAACCCCCTCGAGGACCTGACTGGGCCAGGTGGCAGGAATGAAATATCGTGACTCCACAGTGAACTCTTTTTTCATTTCCGTCATGGCTGGGAACATGCTCGCCTGGCTCTCCGAGTAGAGGGAATAATCTGCATTGGGCCTGACAATTTTAGTCGGGATGGGTTTAGTCAAGTTGCTGAAGTTATTCAGTGAATCTTCCAAGTTTGCCGGCGGATAAAACTTGGCGGGTTCATCTTGGCCAAATTGTTGACTCTGAGTCTTGTACTGAACGTAGGTGCGCTTCCCCTGCGGAGAAGAAGAGCGGGAGCGTGGAGAGGTTGAGCGACGTTCCAGAGCCGTGTCTTCAGTGATGCTAGTGCGAGGAGACGTGTTTGGAGAACCTGAGGCATGAATAGCTTGGATCATTGGACAAAGATCGGCTTCGGTCACTCCGGCAGGACTTACTTCACCAGCTCCGGGAGAAATGCATGGGGAATATCCATCTGAATGCCAGCTTGTAGAGGAAGTGCTGCTAGCTGGACTCAGGCATTGGGTCTCTCTGTAGAGAGACATATCGTAGCCTGGGACCATTAGCATGGGCGGGTTGATGTTCACAGGGTTGGTGAGGACATGGTCGTGGTGGTGCAGGTCAGGGCAGGTGATCTCAATTCTCGGGCTGTTTCCAGGGTGGGCAGCGAGTGAGGGGGAGTGACTGTAAGACTGTCTGAGATCAGACTGCTGATACATGAGAGTCTCGTTGGAGAATTGAGACTCCTCACCGTACAAAGAAGGGTCTTGAAGAATGCATGAAGACGTTTGATTGGGGTCATTGTTGGAGGGATCACCAGGCTCATCAGCTAAAACAGAAGGAAAACAAATTAAAATATTAGTTCAATTCAATTTGTTTATTTCTAAAGCGCTTTTACAATGTAGATTATGTCAAAAAAGCTGAACATAGCTGAAAATGAAGTTCTAGTAAATTGAAAATGTGTCAGCTCAGTTTTCAGAGTTCACTGAAGTTCAGTTCAGTGTGGTTTAATTTCACTGCTGAAAGTCCAAACACTGAAGAGCAAATCCATCAATGCGTAGCTACCCAAGTCCCAAATCAAGCAAGCCAGTGGCGATAATTGAACAAACTTCACCAATTATTATCAAATAAACAAATAACAAAATATTAGATCACAGCCTTTTCTCAAGATTGTCATGACGTATGATTCTCAGCATCTTAAATCCTTGAAAGTTTTTAATATTTTGACTTTTTTTTAAATGTTTGTATATGTAAAAATGTGGTCTTGGTTATCACTGTTATGCTGATGACACACATATCTACATTAGCACCATTCCTAATCTTACTTCAGCTACGTCAGTTCTATCAGCCTGCTTAAAGGAAATAAAAGCATGGACGAAGCAAAACTTTCTTAAATTGAACAGTTCTAGATTTTACTACTCGGCACTTCCACTGTTGTTAACAGTTACAGTCAACCCAGGCTCATTCTGAAAACGTTGTCCAGCAGACGTTTCTGGAGGCCACGAAATATGTTCCGGGAGGTACGTATGGCTGCATTTTTTAAGCGAACGCAACGGGGCGGTGTGACGTCGTTCCCTTTCACGCTTGCCGGCTGACCGCTTACCTCCGTGTGGAGGGCTTTCCCGCTGCAGTCAGTTTGTCAAGTCAGCTCATCGTGTGCACCGGCGGACTTCAGATGCAAAGAGGAGGAGTTGACAAAGGCGTCCGGGTTCGAGTCTGGGGAAGAGCGGTTCCAGAAACCAGGTAAGACAAAAACAGAATCCAAAAAATAAAGCGAACGAGTTCATAACAGGGTGAGAATGTGGTAAAAAAATAAAATAAAAATAAAAAAATCAGACGAGGGTTTTTCTTTTTCTAGACGGCTTTTTTAAATTGTTGCTCGGGTTTAGGGAAGTGAGCGGGCAGGCGGGACAATCGGTAAAACTGGTTGGGTTCATGGAAGGAGGAGGGTGGGTCAGCCGATTGGCCGGTCGCGCAGTCAATCATTCGGTCAGTCAGACAGCGGCCTCTGGTGGGTTGACGCGAGAACAGCGCGGGCGCGAACGGCACTCGCGAGAGACGTTCGAGATACGAAAAAGCGCACACAGCGGCCTCTCGCGATTCGCGAAAACAAAAACTGAAACGTCCAGAAACCTCCAGAAACGTCCGTGGGGCTACGTTTCCACAATGAGCCTGGGTTGCTTATAAGCTTATTGACCAGGCGGGAACCTTGGGCTCAAGTATCTTCAAGCTCAGGGTTCTCTCCTGGGACAGCATGCCAAACCTGCTATAAATGCTGAGCATATCTAAGTGGGAACTCTTGAACTACGACATTAGTCACATGAGTTCATGTGTGAATAACAGCTACTTTAATTACTTGTAAGTACATGACTGTTTGTTAATTAATGTATTAATTACAACGTTAGTTTATGCTTAATTTAACCATCATGAACTCATGACATGTTAATGTATAATTATATCATGACTTTACTTGGAGGGGTACATCATCATTAACCCATTCTTAATTACTCATGATTTCCTTATGCACATCCGTCTAGTGCGTTTACACTGAATAACAATAGAAAAGTGTTCTGTCAACATCAGCATCAACAGTTTAAACACAAGAGTTCATGAAAGAGGAGTTAATGATGATGTGCCCCTCTAAGTAAAGTCATGACATGACTATCCATTAACAGCTCATGAGTTCATGTCGGTTACATTTAGCTTAAATTTAAATGTTAATCAATACATGAATTAACAACACGTACTAACAAGTAATTAAGGTAGACGTTATTCACACATGAACTTTTGTCACTCGTGTTGTAGTTAAACTTAGTTCATGATTAGCGCACGCCTTATCTCATCATTAATTCATAATACAGTAATGTTTAGTTTACATATTACCACATCATTATGCATGTACTGTTATTGTAAAGTGTTACCACATAATCTAGTTTCCTGCTTCTGTTGAGGACAAACGTGGACAACTTGAACAATGTTTGAGTATTTTTAATAGTATTTTTTTAACACAGCAGTCTTTAATTTTGTGTTGAACTAAATTAAAGATTCAACAAATTGCAACCACTTGAGAGTAGTAAATGTACATTTCTGTGAATTGTACCTTTTTAAAAGCCATTTCACAAATATATATAGATTGCATGGTATTTTAATTAGATTTAGAATTATATTATTCTTATAGCTGGATATTAAGAAGAAAGGTTTCCGGATGTTTCCAGTAAACCAGGCTGTTTTCTGCTAATTCTAGAGATGGTTTAGCTGCAGTGAAAGTTTCCACTACATTTGGTTTCACTTAATGTGAGTAACCCACTTCTGAACTCAGAGCATGCTCAAACTCCCCAATGCAAAGGGGTAATACCATGATGTGTCAAAAATACTATAATGGTAAAACTTTTAATATTTGAATTACCCCTTGGGTTATACTTTATTTTAAGATGTCCTTGCAACACTTGTTCTGTGTACTTACTACAGGCTTTCTGCAGGTTTCACAGAGTTAAACTGAAGACTTTAAGACATTTTTAAGACCATTATGAATACAATTCTAGACCCATAAGAGGGCTAAAGGCTAAGGTTTTTTTTTTTCAAATGGCCCAGATGGAAAAGCTTTTTATTTGCCCTATCCAAAAAAAATTATAATTTAATAAGTTTAACAATACAATAATAGATTAATAATAAAAAACACCAATATTTTAGATTTTATTTCTTAGCTAAATATTTTAAATATTGTATAAAAACAAGCAAGCTCTGCTTGTATCCATACACTTTTTTCAGCGTAAACTTTCTTTAAAATAGTTTTTTTTTTAAATTAACAAATGTTTTAAATGTTTTAAAAGTTTTAAAAACTAAATATATGCACAACAATCTGTCTAGGTCGGTGTCCTCAGCAGTAAATACAAGAAGAACCTTTAAACAAATGTTACTGTAAGGAAAATAATTAAACTAGTATGATAAATAGAATTTAAAAATGACCTTTTTAAATAAAAAGCTTAAAGTTTTATTCAGATGAGTGTTGGTGATGGCCAGATTTGGCAGCAAAACATAAACAAATGAAAATTAAGACCTGTTTAAAAAGATTTGAGACCAACAACATAATATTTTTGTAGATTTAAGACTTTTTAAGGACTAAAATTTGGATATTGAGAATCAAGACATTTTAGGACTTTCTAAGACCCTGCAGAAACCATGTACTATAAATATTTGTGCATAATTACATGCAAATAACCCTAAAACAAACCTGCATTCTAACCCTAACCATATTATAGAGTACAAGAAATTAATTAATGTTACTCAGTAGTCAAACTAATGTAACAAGGACACCAAATAATGTGACTATAGTACTAATCATATTGAGTATTGATATATCATTACGTTACACAAATGATTAACTTAATACAATTAGTAAGACATTGTTTTTATATAAATAAGTATAATACACTAATTTAGAATAATAAACACTTGATATCAAAGACAGTCTTTCTAAATTAGTAATACACACACTAACCTGGGTCATCAGGAGGCAAGTCGTTGCCAGGTTGGTTGTACAAGAAGAGTAATGGAAAGTCCAAATCTTCTTGGTTGTCGATATTTTCGTATAAATTACTCATTGGACAGGTTTTCAAGCCAAGTAATTTGAAGAAAAAAGTTATTTATGAAGTAAAAACTAAATAAAAATGTAATAAATCGGTTAATTGATAGTTATCTGCCAAATAAAAACGGTTAGCGATAGTTTCTAGTTTCTAAGGCAACGAACCAAGTGTCAGTGAGGCGCGCTTTGCTGATGATTCGACTGTGAAAGACAGAAAGAGCGCGGGAGATGCGGAGCCACTTCCTGTTTGAACAGAAACACCCTCACCAACCAAAGTAACAGTACAGTAAACAGGTATACGATTCGTTTCTCAGAATAATATAGAAAATGGTTCCCTGAGCTGCAGACTAATACGTGATAAACGTATAAAAATCGGTTTATTTTACTATAGAGCAGGTGTGTGTAGGTTAGGCAGCTCGTAATAAAGAGATAGTTCACCCAAAAATGTATTGTAACTATTTACTCTCCTCTTCTCTATTCTGTTGAACACTGAAGTAGATATTTTGAAGAAAGATGAAAAAAATCTCTCACTATTGACATCCATAGCATCCAAACATAAATATTATGGAAATCAATACAAGTTTTTAGCATTCTTCAAAATATCTTCTTTAGTGTTTAACAGAGGTGGCGGCTCAGTGTTCAGCAGTCGCCTCACAGCAAGAAGGTCGCTGATTCGAGTCCCTGGGTCAGTTGTCATTTCTGTGAGGAGTTTGCATGTTCTCCCCGTGTTGGCATGGGTTTCCTCTAAGTGCTCTAGTTTCCCCCACAATCCAAAGCCATGCGCCATAGGGCAATTGAATAAGTGTGATATCTTGAATAAGCAAGATAAGCAGCTGCTTAGGGCCCCAGAAAATCTGAGGGCCCCCAAATAAATACCTATAAGTATAAATTAAAGCTATAACTTACATAAAACATCATTTTCTGTCATATTTGGTATAACGAGTGTCTAAAAAATTAAATGTTTAATGTTTCCTACATCTGCGCAAATGTATCGCCAACCTCAAGAAGTCCAGCAGTCAATTTAGGTAAAGATTTATTTTAAAAACGAAATATTTTATATATAATTTTTGTTGTGAATTCATTTTAAGAAAACAAGTGATTTTTAAACATTTTACAAGATGCTTAACATGTTGTTATTATTATTTTGCATTAAGACTAAATGTAGAAAAGAAATGATTGAGTGATATAAGAAAAAAAATGCAAAAATAACCCAATTAAAAATAAATTAAAATAGGAAAAGTGGGCCCCATGGCTGGAATTGCTTAATTTACTCCTAATTTACTAAATCTGCCCCTGTGTGTATGGGTGTTTCCCAGTGATGGGTTGCAGCTGGAAGAATATCTGCTGTGTAAAACACATGCTGGATAAGTTGGCGGTTCATTCCGCTGTGGCGACCTCTGAGGATATGGGACTAAGCCGAAGGAAAATGAATAAATGAAAGGTGTTCATTAGTTAAGAAACTCAACGTCACTTGAGGGAGAGTAAATAGTTTTTCCTTTTTTTTTGGGGGGGGGGGGGGGGGGGGTTGGGGGGGGAGAAGCAGAATAAGGAAACCTAAAGATGTTTGAAGACAGAAAAATATGACAGAATTGTAATTTTTGGGTGAACTATCCCTATATGAACTATCTCAATATCTCTCAGAAAGACTCAGAAGTGATAAAACCCCTATCTTTATGCACATCTGAATAATATAAACATACATTTTAATGTGTTTCTAACTTGCATTTTAATAGAGATTTTTTTTTACAAGAATGAATGTCTGTCCTGAATTTGAAATTACAGATTTGTGATTTAGGATGTCATATAAACAGTCTTAAAATAAATATACTATCGGGAATAAATCAGTTATATGCTCTCTGTCAGAGTCTTAAAGGGCACCGGGGGTATTTTTAGACTGACAGCTGCAGTTTCTTTGTTTCTACAGTGATTCCTGCCGTTTACACCTGTCCATCCTCATGTCACCTTATATGGGTCGGTGTTCCTTAGCAACAACATTGGCGCCATCTGCTGGACTGACCTTTGAAAGCGTCTTTTTAATCAAAATGAGTGCTTGACATTTCAAGCGGTGACTACTGCACTGCATCTAAAACACCTCCCACTGTACTGCATGAGAAAGTGTGCAATCAAAAATGCATTTTCACACTACACTGTTATTAAAATTATATATATATATATATATATATATATATATATATATATATATATATATATATATATATATATATATATATATATATATATATATATATATATATATAT